AACATCCTTCCATACATTGAAAAATTTATAATATTAGTTACCTGTGTTTGTTGCTGGTTTTCTTTCATAAGTATGCTTTAAGCTGCCAATGAAATTAAGTACCAGGACTTCATAACATTGCAGAGTGATGTAGTGTGTTGAAGTCCTTACCTTACTTTGGATGTAGTACACAATACGTTAAACATATTTTTCAACATTGGAAATTCTTGGTTACACAAATCGATAAAAATGTCGAAATGACCTTGAGAAATTATGGCGAAATATTCTATTTTTTTCGGTCGGTTTCTATCATAAACCACCGTAGACTCGAGAATACTAGAAAACAGTTGCGAACCATAAACCGTGGTATTAGCATTTGAATCTTGAAGACATTTATCTTAAATATACCACAAATCACATTGTTGTGACAGAGGTAAACCGCAAGCCATGCGTACTATTCACTGAATTTAGGTCAACCATACGTCTGGTCTGTCAATGTTTGATGAATGCGTCTTTACAAAGAACAAAGACCATTCATTTGCATGCACAAAACCTAAGCGTTGTGTACAAAATTAACAATGTCTTGTTTAATTCATTTCGTCAAGAATATGCATTGCAATAATCAAGTTATAACTTAACCATGTTAAAGTTATATTTTATTACTAAATCGTAAAAGTAGCTTTAAATATTATTACGATAACAAAAACCTCAAAATTATTAAATTCAATTCCCAATTGTGTTTTGTTTAAGGTGATAAAACTGTACTTCAGTGTCAAAACACTGATACAGAGCATAATGAAGTTACCCCTTTCATTTTCTCTGAAAAAAAAAACAAAAAGCAACAGTTTTTTTTACAAATTTTTCGTTTGTAGAACTCCGCGGTTAAACAATATAAACAAAGTAATGAAATTCGAACTTGTATTGTTAAGTGACAAGGGAAAAGTGATAAAGCGAAATATTTTTCCCGTCACAATTCATTTTCACCAAAATAATTTTAAGCTGTGTTATTACAAAATGGTTTCCTCGTCGGCGTCTAATTAAGTTTTGTTATATTCTTTATTGTGACGTCGATCTGGTGCGGCAAGAGGCACGGAGCGGACAGAATTAATTGTTGAATTTTAAAAACGTATTTAGATTTTTTAACTCAATCTCTATGAATCTGAATCTTTTGATAAAACTCTTTATAGCCCTCTAATTTAATTCCAAATTCGCATTTTATGATATTTTCCATGTTAAATAAAAAAAAACATATTTCGGGTAATATAAGTTGCCCGACTATTTATCGACAGTATGATTTTTTTTAAAGATAGTTTACTTGGATTTAGATAAGTATTCAAATAAAATGAGTAAAGTTTCACAATCGCTAAATTCCGTAGTTTCTCCACAATACCATATTAATTAACCTTAGTCGAATCCAACTAAATGTTTTAATTATTCCTAATACATAATATTAGAAAACATTAACAGATTATTTTAAAATTACATAAAACTAACAAAATATAACGATAAAAATAATGGTATTATACATTTATAAATCGATGGTTGTTGATTTCGCCACTAACTTATCGTCGTTAACTATACAGAGGAGCTAAAGTTCGCACTAATATAGCAGTGTCAACGACTCTGGCCCAGTGTCGTTTGTTGGATTTTATATTTTTAAATAACTTCCCAGATGTGTGCAGTTTATCCCACGATGTTTACCTTCACCGTAACACGCTAATATTAACTATGCTAAAGTCGATATAAAATAAGAAATCCAATCTATCTAAATAATTGTAAAGTCCGTTAAATCGTAAATGCCGTAAGACTTTGTACACACGGTACATAAAGTGGTACGTATTCAATTATATAACGTACCGGTTCTTCGGCTGTACCGATCACAGCTACAGTGCGGTTTTGCGCCTCACTTCTACATAACGAGATATCTGGAAAGCTATTTTGTAAAACTTGCTAAAGCGGCACATTTTTTTTGTTATTTATTTTAAATAAAACATATACGTACACATCCGTGTCACGATTGGAAAGTAATAAAAAGTCTTTATTTATATGCAACATTGATGCTGTAACTGGCCGAAAATAATTACCAAAGCAGTGTTTTTAATTTTAAATTAATTCTCTATTTAAAATTTGTCGGTTAACTAAACAAAAGCTACAACATTAACGTAAGATTAATCTTCTGTAATTAATCGCTAATATTGTTTTTTATTTATTATTTTCATAGAAAGGTCATTGTGTGTAATCAATAATAGTATCCACACGTAACTAACTCATAAAGATAAGCAACAAAGAGATTATAATGCAAGAGAAGAGAATCTAATGCAATGCTCTAGTATATTCTGAATATTGTATGAGTTTACTATTATTGTTAACCTTGGCATCATATTTGGATACAAAAACTAGAATGTTATACAAATTACAACATTTAGGTCAAGTTATTTAAAAGATTTTTCTTTACCAAACGTATCCTAAAGAAGTTGACCGCCCTTTTGCCCCCTGCCCGACCTCACTTGAGTCAAGATCCTATCGTTTGGGAACGAAAGTGACGCCTTGAGACGAGATTTCCTTTCAAAATTCATTGCGCTACGTCGTTCTATATAATACGTTAAACGCTTGTCTCCTGAATGTCTACAACTAAGTAAACAGACATACAAAAATATGGTAATATCAAGAAGTTTTTCATAAACAGATAACCTAATCATGGGTCCAAAATAGAAGCGTCTTTACCCCAAAAATATAAGGTTTTAAAATCATGACCTAGAATTCCTTGTATCATATTTCAGTTACACGAATTATCACTTACTGCAGTTGTGAAGGGGATGGAATGAAATTGTATGACATTTGAAATTCATGCTTTGCCGCCGTTCGAGGCATATCCAACATTAATGACAGTGCAAGCTCGCCCGCGCCCTCTGTGCGGAACTCTCGTAAATATTAATCTGGGACAAAGTGAATTCTGGTAAGCGAACAGTACAAAGGAGAAATTTAGTATAATCTTTGAACTTTGTTGCGAAATTTCTCCACAATAGAGCGGAATTAGCGTTAAAATTTCTTTGACGTTAATTGGATGCAATCGAAAAAAAGTCCGTGTCGCGTTCAATATAACGAACAAGAACTTTTATTAGAAAAGACATAATTTCAATTTTTTGTATTTACTAAAAAGAAACCACTTTAGTTGTTAAATTTAGAATGCTTTGAAAAAGGATTTTACATGTAGAAATTTTTTTAATAAAAATTTGACCCAGTATGCCCATCCATTATCACCTCACTATACGTCCCCACTTAGGGGCTCGATGCTTAACCTAAGTTAGGGGTGACTAGGCTTTAGTCAACCACGCTGGCCCAGTGCGGATTAATTGACTTCACACATATCTTTGTATTTCTTCGCTGATATGTGCATGCATGCATGTTTTCCTTTACCGTAAGAAACAGTTTGTCCTGTGCTAATAAAATGCCACCATAAAAACTTCACTGACTTCATTATTCTTATTTTGATTAGAAGATTACGCATACCATATTCTTATAACATTAACCTAGTTCCTAATGAGGGTCCGTTTAACTTTGTTAAGTAGTATAATGGACTGTTATTTAATTATATCTTTTTAATTAACGTATTCATTACAATTTCTCTATGAAAATGTTTCATAAGTATGAGTGACGAAATAACTGACATAAAATTAAGTATGATGTGTTTATAGAGTAGACGCACTTTCTCATAGTGATTTCGCAAGTCAGTGTGGTATGTAATGAACGAGACGTAGCTCCGATCTCACGGTAATTTCCAACTCAGCAGCCTTGTCGGATGAAATCGATTTGCTTCCGGAACAAGGAAACCTTAATGAATACTTTGTTCTTATTTTACAATTATTTATGTATATATAAAATTCTTTCCCGTGGATTTCTGGGACTAAAATCTCTATACAAAACTTATGTTATCCCTGTTTTTCATTTTTGACGAAACAGAGAAAACAATATGTTTTACGGATTTTTGTCTCAGAAACCTATGGTTAGTGCAAGTTTTCTTAGGAACTAAAAACAGGCGATTACAATCTTAAAATCCCTTAAATAATTGGCCAGACAATTTAATATATACTTAAGACTGATTCTAAAGGTTAATTAAGCACACGCAAAAACGTTTTAACCTAAGTTATCAAGGGAATACTGTTAAGCTTAATAAGTAAAATTTAACCAGTAAAAAATATAAAATGTAGCGGGTTTCCTTTAGTGAGGTATATGAATAAATACTCAGGGCAAGGGCCTCGCCGCTCTCGCCCTGTAATGAATGCCCGATGTATTAACGAGAAAAATATAACGAGGAAAAAGTACACAAAATCAAAATTAAAAGTTAAATATTTAATAACACGGTTAAGGGAATATACTCACGAATTGTTGCGCTTAACTGAAAATCTTACTAGTAAATGCGTATGTTTAAATGGATGGATGTTTCTTTGAAAGTGTCTCCAGAACGGCTGCATGTATCTTGCTGGGCATAGATGTAGAACATAGCCTGGAGAGAAACATAGGCTACTGTTTTTTTTTAATTCCACACGGACGGAGTCGCCAAAGACAGATTGTAATTATATATACATTTTCATAGCATCATGTGATTTCAATTGCATTCTTAAATATTATGTCGATTCTATCACCGATTGATTTTGTTTCTATTATAAAAACAAAGTTTAAATTCAAGTTAATAAATGCTTGATTACAGAAATACGATGAAATAGAATAGAATAGGTTATCAACATATGGAATAATCATTTTTATTAACCCTTAATTCGACGAAATTTTTTGTAGCAAAAAACTGTTTTTTTTAGTAAAGTCATACTTACGTAATTCTCTAAACTAATTCAGTAGATTTTTTTTTATTAGTTGTTCGTCACACTGGACACCATCGAATTAAGGGTTAAACCATTATTTTTTGTTCTTCTTCTTCTTCTAGTGCCTCTTCAATCTTGAAGGCTAACTTGGAATTTTTTTTGTTGCAGGAAGAAAAACATGGTCATCACACAAAACTGTCAGTGGAGTTAGAATACTAAAATGTCAGTGTAATAATTCAAATAATGTGCGTTTATTCAAGTACAATGTGTAGAACAATGTTAGTGTTGTTAATCTCAGTGTTAGTGTGTGTGGTCAATGCTGATGTTAATTCAACGGATGTGGTACAGTCGGGAGGGTCTCGTATGGCCTGGATTAAAGGTCTGGTGGACCATCACGACTGGCTGGATTTACTTGACAATGTGACGTTGCCTGACCAATGCGCGAACGATCTCAGGCGGTATGTCATCGCTCTGAATGAAGGAGAACTTTGGGCATCGAAAAGTAAGTTTTTTTTTTAATTTCTTAAGTAATGTATTTTTCTATGAAACTTCTATATAATGTTTAAATCACACACATTTTTAAAATATGTTCTCTGTTATTCAGGCTAAGCGACTTACTTAGTTTTTTTAATGTTTTTAAAGTAAAAGATTGCATTATCAAACATGTAGAAAACAATAACTAGTTAAATTCGATGTAGGTTGGCTAACATGAGAGGTTATATATATATGATTGGAAAAATAGCAGTTTTTTTTCTTTAAATATTACTTTCATGTAATTCATATTTTGCATAATGTATATTTGCATACTAAGTACAAAAAGACTCTGATATGTTTTCAATGTTATAAAGGTAAACTTACAAATCGTAATTCAATATGTATCCAATTCAATAATCCCGCCATTTTCCAGATGTGACCTACTCTACTCTGAATCTTATTTCATGACAACTGAGTTACATCTTACTTCTTACTAATATTATAAGTGCGAATGATGGATGGATCAATGTTTGTAGGTATCTCGAGAACGGCTCAACGAATTTCGATTGAGTTTGGCGTGGATGTAGAACATAGTCTGGACGAACACTTAGGCTTCTGCGCGGACTAAGTCACGGGTAATAGCTAGTAATTAAATTAAACAGAGAAAATTAAACCAAATATACAATTTATAAAATAAAAACGTTTTGTCTAAATAGTGTTTAAGATAATCAGCATTAGTGGTTAGTTTAAAATGACCTTCATTAAGAGATTTCTAGCTTAAATGCATTTCCAAGGTTAATGGATCGTAATCCTTACAGTTATTTAGTGCTCGTTTAAGTAACTATAGAAATCTGGAGATCAGTGCATGTCAAGGTTTATGAAAACTACGATAATTTAATTATCCAATGGTCAAGAGTTAATGAATGTTAGTTTTTTTACTTTTTAAAAATCAGTTTTGAATTTTTAAACTTTATACCAAATACGAATTAGACAGAGGTAAAGGTTAAATATTTTTTTAAAAGAGCAACAGTTTTAAATCTCTGTGTGTACCAGTGAGACATTTTATAATAACTTAATCATAGTTTAATTGTAAAGACAGGCTTGCTGCGTAACTTAACAATACTGCAATAAGAGTAATCTACTTTTAGGATAATATTAGATTTAGTTACAACTTTAAATCCATTATTATGCATAAATATAAGAAAGTAGAGTTCTTATAAATTTGTGTGTTTTCAGATGAATAATGATAATTTCTAGCATAGGTTAACTGTAATATCTTTATACCCACTTTTATCCTTTGGTAGAGAAAGGTCTACATTTGAAACCAAATATATAAACATAGTAGCTTACTAACTAAGCAGTTTCTACGGTGATTGTCTAGTTAAGGCGACTCGTAACATTAATGTGTTGAAGAAAAGAGCTCAAAGTGTTTCATTACACGCCGCCCGTGTGCGGTAACATGAGGAAATCTGTTGTTATCTTCACGCAACATTTACGAGTTACTGTTACAAGCATCAGTACCATAATAACATATAAAACTTAAAAAACAACGTCATTTAAAGGTTAACGAATAACAACGTGACTTGACGCTTTTTGGTCGATTTTTTTTTAGTTACTCATTGTTTGGAATCAATCCTCTTCAAATATTTCCACAAGTTATACGATCGTTATTGCGATGCTTAGATTAGTTAAATTTGTACCATAAACAATAAAAATTAATTAAAGCAAATGCAGTAAATTGAGTATCGCTAATAAAGCGATATCTTACTTATAAATGCGAATGGATGGATATTTGTTTGAAGTGATCTCGAGAACTTGAAATTATGAGCGTTGATGGCTCAGGGCTCAAGCATTTGACTTGCGATCTGCAGGTCCCGGGTTTGAATCCCGCCATGTACCAATGTGTTTTTCGATTTCAGATTTACAGATGTACATTTATCCGACGTTCTTACGGTGAAGGAAAACATCGTGATGCAACCTGCACATATCTGAGAAGTAATTCAAAGATATGTGTGAAGTCAACCAACCCGCACTTGGCCAGCGTAGTTGACTATGGCCTAGTCACCCGTAACTTAGGTTAGGCTTCGAGCTCCTCGGTGGGGAAGTATAGTGAGCTGATAATGATCTCGAGAACGGCCCAACACATAAGCTACTAATTCAGTTTTTTTTTTTAATATCGCGCGGTAGGAAACTCTGGCGACATCTAATCATTTATAATCTTCATAATTTTTGTTTTTGTTAGAAGAATGCCAGTTACATTTTTATACTGACAGGTGTTTCAATAAAGTCTAAAGCCGTCTCATCATTCATAAAGCACGCTCGAGATTTTCATTCACCTTCCATTTACCATTTTTTATAACTGTTGGAATATCGTTTAGTTGAATAATAAAAGGATATATTTAAGAATAATTAAAAAAATATGTATGTTTTTTGTGTACATTAAATGCTTTAACGTTTCACTTATTATGTTTTAGTCTTGATGACTTTCTCTTTAATAGTCATTGTGTTTCTCGGAAATCGAAGCACAATCAATAGATCGAAAGTGGAACGTTTAACTACTTATATTATAAGTTATAGAGTATAAGTAGTAGATACATATGTTGTATATAATAATGCAATAATTATTAATAATACTAATATACAGTAGTGCAATTTAATAGTGGTAGAGTCACTAGACTGAATGGCTTTTACGACATATGTGTTCGGAGATATACAAGTTAAGGATTTACTGTAAATAAGCAAACTTTTAAGGAATATTCTATTTTAGTAATGTTTGAACTATTTTAAAAGTATTTAATCTATATTTAAAGTAAATATAACATAGCGTAGTTTGATATTGATGAATGAGACTCTAAGTTAGTGTCGCAAAGTTCAAAGCTCGGGACTGGTATTATACAATTCTAAACTAAGTCATGTATAGATGTTGTTAGCTTTGAGTTCGTGCCTTGATAAGTGGGCTCATTGCGATTGGAACAAAGCACTCCCCAGCATCATTTTGTATTGCCGTTTTTTTCCTTTATATTACCAAAAAATATGTTTTTTGCAGTCTTTTGCGAAATTTCGTGGATAATTGGATGGCATAGTTGCTCACTATTATTGTAATTATCCGTGTTTTGTTTTATTCCTATCTTTATAATGAATATTAATTAAACTAATGAGGATTAAATTAAAGTTAAAGAAAGAAATCATGTCGTTGAAATCTTTTCGTCGTATAAAGTAATAACGTAGTAACGTAATACCGAAAAAACACTACTTATGAAGAAACTTCAACTACCGCTATTAACGAATCTTTGTTAGGTTATAATATTTATACTACGTTAGCTAGCGTATATTTTTTTAAAAAATACTGTAAGAGAAATCTATATTGCTTAAGGCATGTTATATCATAACCTGTTTCTATTACCAGAACTAGTTTTGTTCGTGCTCATGAATGAAATTATAAACGGCTTATCTACAACTGGCATATGGCTATTATAAGATCTATGGTGAATGGGTTATTGCCTTACTAACCTCTATATAACAAACTGTTATAGAAGTAATAAAAGAATTATGATTCATTATTACATAAATTAATCGTTTGAAATGTAACTTTATTACTTTAACAGTGGTAGAGCCCGCTTTAACATCTTCGCACGAATGGGCCCGGCTCGTTCAGTGAAATACCACGATCACACAGAAGACAGGCGTGAAGAGGAAGCAATTCCGCGTTTCGTCTGATGAGTTTGCGTCCCGGAGGCCTAATTTAGTCCTCTTTTCCTTCCCACCCTTTTTCTTATAAGGAAAGGATGGGAAGTGGAAGTGGACTTTCTGTATGAGAGGATGCATGGAAAGAGAAAATATTTTCTTTCTTTGCATCCTCTCCTCCGTCTATTATAGGTAGGCAACGCATATGCAATTGCGTTTGTCAATGGGCAATGGACACTTCGCTATTTCAGCGATTTCAGGTGGCCGCTCGCTCGTTTGCCACCTTATGATATAAAAAAATACTTAATTAAGATAAACGATTTATAATTTAAAGTTTGTCAGCTCTATTTGTTCATGAACTTTAATTCTTTTGTGTTATTCATGTAAAATGTCTATCAACTACTTCATGTGTAAAGATGCAGGTGTTCGAAACTTTTGCAATCCTTCACTAAAGATAAATAAGGTTGTCAATACTAGTTTTAACATTAAGCAAGTCACAATCTTATCTTATAATTTATTGCTCGTCATGCAAAGCTTCACTAATATCTATACTCCGTTACACAATTTCAGTTTTAAGTACAGTCAGCTACATTAATATGTAAACATTTACAAAAGTTCAAAAACTTTTATACGTCTTTGGTGTCATAGTTACGTATGTACACGTGTTCGTTATTAGCATGTTTTTGTGGTTGGAACAGTAAGGAATGGTAAGATGAAGAAATGAATGTAAATTTGTACTTACCAAACATACTGCAATACTCAGAGACATTAATTCTTCGCTATGAGTAGTAATCTTTAGTGTAGATTTAGTTTGATAAATCTAAACTTAACTGTACAGTTAAATGGGACGTACGTAGACAATATTTGAACTGCCAGTTAAACTGTACAGTTTTAGGTTTGCTTACACAAGTAAGTTTTTACTTTACATTCCGACTGTACAGTTTATACTGTGCAATTAACACTGAACTGAATGAAAATGTATTCTACATAGCGACATAGCGATATTGTGAAAGCGTTTGGAAATCGTTGTATTCGTACAAAATTGTGCAAATTTTAGTATTAAATATACATACAATTACTTTGAAACAAGAATAGAATTGCATATATACATTGAAAAATATTATAATTTGCATTTTACTTTCGAAAAATTTGTAAAACATTGCTTCTGCATATGTTTACATTTGGATATATTAACATTATTCAGAATTCATTATATCGGCCACATTTACAATTCAACATAATGTAATTTCAACATTCATTTTTGTATAAAGTAACATTTAAGTTATTATTACCAAAAGTTGATAACATTTAAGGGTTTCTTTCTGACCTTATCTGCGCCGAATT